AAAAAAAAAAAAAAATCCCAAACCGAAAACTTTCCAGTCATCCTTAACTCTCTGCCCCCCAGCTCCCTTTGCCACCAGGGTGTGCTGATTTTTCACCAAGTCGAGGGTCCTCAAAACTTCCCACACTTCAGCATTACCAGGGCCTTGTTAGAGTTATTGATTCCTAAGTCCCACACACCTCTTTCATGTAGGGGTGGGGCCTGGGATCGAAATTTTAAATTTCCCAGCAAACCTGATGCAGGTGGACTGCTGACAGTGTCTTTTAGCTTTGTCCCTTCCTCTCCCTTCCATGACCCCATCCTTGCCCCGGCTGGCCCTCATCACCTCACACCTGGATTACAGCAACAGCTGGCCTGCCCCTAGCCTTTCCCTGTTCCAGCCTCTCCAGCTGCCAGGACCCATCTTCTACAAATATCTTTTGCATCACATCACTTCCCAGCTCAGAAGCCTACCATGGCTCCCTGGGACCTATCAGATCCTATCTAAAGTCATTTGGCTGGGAGCCAGCCAAGGCAGCCTCCCACTCTCCCCTTTCCCTTCTTCTCTGTTCACTGCCACCCCTTCCAGGCTCATTAGTCATGTTTTTCTTATGTTAGCCCCTCTGCTAGCTTGGGGTGGTCTCTTATCTACCTCCCCTCTGCCACCATCCTGGAACACTTCTGGTGACACAGGAGGAATTATGAAAACTGTTCAGATTCTCCTTCCTGCTTCTCAATGCATCCAGTTGCCTTCCTCTGGCACAGGCTCTGCCACCCGCCAGCTGGATGACTTTGGGCAAGTTGCTTCACCTCTCTGTGCCTTACTCTTCTCACTGTCTCATCTGTAAAATGAGGATTTCAATAGAACATACCTCATACGTTTCTGGAGAGACTCCATAGATAGAAAAGGGCTTAGAAGAGTGTCTGGCGTGAAGTTAAGTGGCCATGCAGGTGTTAACTATTGTTATTAATTATCATGATCATCGCCCCTTACAGTCCTTTCCTCCCTGGAAACCATTTCTGCTTCGAATAGCTAACTGATGGAGTTCTCTGTCAAACCTTGCCTGATTTAGTGGAAGTAGTTAAGTGTTAAGTATTTGAGTTCCAGGGAGCTCCTGTGCATGAGATAACCTGGGGAACTGTGCTGTCTACAAAGCTCTAATTATGTCCATTAATATCTAGCCAACTAGGAGGGGAGGAGGGGAGAGTTGAAAGCAAGATTTTCCAGAATAATTAGGATGATGCTAAGACAACTTCAGAATACCTTAAGGGACAGTAAGTTATGCACCTTCTTTCCTATGGTCTTTCTAAAGTCCTCTTTACATCCCAGGTCCCAGTGGCCCTGCTTCCTCATCTGTTCATTCCCTGGCTTCCTCTTCTTAGCTCTCCCAGCGGTGCCTTCCTCTGTGGGTGTCCCCAGCCTGTCAGCCTCACACCTTATGCCCCAAGCAGTTCTTGTCTGTGAATAATCTATCGCCCACATTTCTGCTCTAATTGTCTTTTCTTTTTCTTGAATTGACAGAATTGTATACAGTCATCATGTACAACATGATGTTTTGAAACATGCATACACTGTGGAATGGCCCAATTTGTCTAATTAAAATATGCTTCACTGGCGGTGCCCATAGCTCAGTCAGCAGGGTGCCGGCCACGTACACCAAGGGTGGTGGATTCGAACCCAGCCCAGGCCTGCTAAACAACAATGACAACTACAACCAAAAAATAACCGGACATTGTGGCAGGTGCCTGTAGTCCCAGCTACTGGGAGGCTGAGGCAAGAGAATCATTGAAGTCCAAGAGTTGGAGGTTGCTGTGAGCTGTGATGCCACAGCACTCTACCCAGGGTGAAAGCTTGAGACTTTGTCTCAAAATAAAAATAAATAAAATATGCTTTACTATTGGAACTTTCAAGTCCACATCTAGGATTTTGTGGCAAATACCACCAATTCCTTTAAAAGCCCACTGAATTCATGGCCAGTGTCTGTCCTTACATTCTCTTTCTTCTTTCCTCAATGAATAGTAGAAGTTCCCCTATTATTGAGTTGGGGGAGGTCTGAGGATATTTTTGACATTTCAAAGGGGCCTTCATTGTCCCTAAGGTTGGGAACCACTGCCCTGTGGGATACGCAGGAGTTGCAGGAGCACACTGAGCTCCTTTGGTTCACTGTTTCCTTGTTTCCTCGTCTGCCAGATGGAGTTAAAGCATAGCCACCTCTTTTCCCGAGGGCAGGAAACAGAATGTTCACACACAGGAAGTGGGCACAGAGAGGTGCTCCTGATCCTTGGTTCTGGGCTGGGAGAGCTGAGATGGGGATGAGATGAGGCCATAGATAGGTGGGCACATTGACGGATGGCAGAGCCAGGCGGGGGCTCATTGTTCCTTTCTTTGTTCTGGGTCCAGCTGGATCAGCCCAGCCCAGAACCCCAAAGCCTGCAAAAAGTCTCTCCAGGAGCAGTATGTTCTTTCGCCTTTCTCCACCCTTAGTTGGCTTTCTGTGGCACAACAACAGAGAGCTGCTCCTGTATGTGACTGACAAACATCTACCAAGTTCCTCTTATCTGGTCTAGTAACCGCTTGGCCTCAGGAGTTCCAGTGTTTGTCTCTGTTTAGTCAGGGTTGCCTAGGAAACAGAGTTACTCTCTCTTCACCACTATGAGACTGTGGGGCCAGTTTTTTCCCTTCTTGTACAGAAAAGCTTGAGGACCAGAGAGTTTGAGTTTGGGGGTGTTGCTGGGCTATTTTCTGGGTTTCCTATTTTTTGGTTTTTTGGGGGGGGGTGTCTGCTGGTTCTTGTTCAGCAGGAACTTGGGTGTGGGAAGTCCACGGATGAACTGAATAGCTATGAAATCTCTCAGCTTTTCCTGAAAAGGGGAGAGTGTTGAAGCAGGTGGGGATTGGGAGTACCTGTCTAGGTGGGAAAAGGCTGCCTAGGGGCTTTGAATGCACTAGTCCAAAGTTTGTACCAGCAGCTATGAAATCTATAGGGCATGACCTCATTGGCAGGTGCAGACAGTGAACTTGGCATCGTTGAGTAGCAAGGTGGGGAAATTGGGATTTGTGAGGTCAGCAAGCAGAGGTTTGCGATGTTCCGAAGGGGTTTGGTGATTTGTAAAGAACAGGCCAATGTGTAGGGCCTTTGCAGAGAAGGACACAGGCCATTTTGATTATATTTGGGCAGGAATTGGTGCAGGGGAAGGGGCTGAGACAACTTGGTCACCCTGAGGCTTGTGGCTCAGGAAAATAAAGTTCTGTTCAAGTGGCAGAAGGATAGGTATCTACACTAAATGAAGTGGAGATTGAATGGAGTCACTTAAAGAGGGAGGATAGTCTCCTTTGGCAACACAGTAGGCTTGGAAGACAGCTCAGGGTCCAGAGTGGATTCAGTTCAGGGCAGGGTAGAAGATACACAGAATGCTTTTCAACAACCAATTGGAGAAATGGCAGGACTCCAGGTGCTGGGCACATGGGGCTGGGAACGGGTAATTGGCGATAATGAACTGCCAAGAGGTGGAAGAGGGAAGCTAGAGTCAGGAACCTTAGACTTGGCCCTGCCCACCTGGCTGGTGGCTGGCAGGTTTTGTGAGACAACTTTTAGTGGTGACTGCAGCAGCAAGGATTGAGGGCATCTTTCTTTGGGCAGGGGTTGGAGAATGAGCAGCGAATAGGGAAGTGAGTTTGCCATCTCTCATACGTTCTCTCTCCTTATCTCACTAAGGTCATCTTAGCTCCTTTGCCAAGGTCAAGGGTCTCATGTGGATTGGTATTAAGGAGGGTACATTAAATGACACTGATGATGTTTTCAGAAGGGAGAAGCGGCCCACTTGTGTTGGATTCCCCTCTTCTTGCTCCCTGACAGGCATGCCCTGCCCTTTGCTTTTGGGCTTTCTTGGGGGTATCTTCCCTCCCAAATCACCCCTCCAGCTAAGGTTGTGTGTTAGTAGTTAACTCTCCACTCACTCCAAAGGCCTCATGAAAAAAGCAGCAGGATGGAGAAGGAAGGCTGCAGGTGGGGCTTGTGATTTGCATAATAGCTGTGTGACTTCGGGCAAGTCACTTAAACTCAACCAAGTCTGAGCCTCCTCACAATGACAGTGAAGAGCTCGTCCTCCACTGAGTACAGTGCCCAGCACACAAAATTGTGCATGTGGCTTAGCACCCCCCCCCAGCACTTAGGGGGAGCTCAGTGACCATGAGCAGAAAAACAGCAACCCCCCACCAGGTGACGGACGTTTCCCATCCAGTCTGTTGACATTCAATCAGACACCCAGTTTATTTTTAGAAAAAAAAGAGCAAAGTTTATTGAAATTTCAAGCTACATCTGAAAAATCCAAATCCTAATCCTGGAGATGTCCATCAGGATAAGGTGTCAGAAAGTGGAGAGTGTTCACTGTCGCGGAACCCCCCCCCCCCGCCCCCGAGACAAGCTCCTGGGCACATGTCCAGGCTCCATTACATCAAAACCATTCCCTCCATCAATCCCTTGTCTACAGTGGGACACCATCCTTCCATTAACTTGAAAGTTTCAACAAGATTTTTTTTTTTTTTAAGATTTTAACCAGCACTGTGAAGTCCAAGCTACTCTTCACTCAACCCCATTCTATGTAGTCAGCACCGGTGAATGGTGGGTTTGGCATTCAAAAGAGGACTTCACACGTCTTCAGTGGACAGTTGGGGAAAGGGTTGCAGCAGCAAGGCATCCATGGCCACTTTCAGAGGCTGGCCCCCTTCCCTGACTTTACTCTTTAATCTTACTTAACCTAAAGGACAAACTGGATCAATTTGGTAAATGAACACAAACAATTATCCTTAAGAGATAAGGGACCAGTCAATACTCCCAAAGATGGTTAGGCCCTTCGACATGTAGGTGTATGTGTACATGTATACAGCACTACACTAAGGTACAGATCTAGCCCTATGGGTAATATATACGCATTTATGGCTATATAGAAAAACTATTCCAATACTAACCAAACAGAACATTGTAAGCGGTCATCCCAAAGCTGTAATCCCACACTGGGCTGTGTACAAAGCCATGCATTATACCATATTAACCAACAGAAGGCTGACTTGGCTCAATCTCTCCCATCTGTGCCCCCTGCCTTAGCGAGACAAGGGAGAAGAGAGAGGTTGCCTCTGCTTAGAACACAAGTGGCTTCTTCATAAGAACAGTCGTCTGGTGAAGCTGTTGAAGATGTCCATGGAAATGAAAAACAGACCCCTTATACTTTCTGGAGCAAGCTGGCATCACATCTCAAACTACCTCCCTCCTTTGCCAGTTGCAGCTAAGTTGCCCAGGCCCTGGGAGCCCCCAGGGCACTGTAGCATTAGAGGCTCACTGGCTTGGGGTTACTAGACCCCATGCAACTCAGCCTCTAGAGACCTGCTCTTTGTCAAGGATCTGTCACTGAAGTGGACCCAGGTGGCCATGTCATTAGGACATCTCTTGGCACCAGCTATGCTAGGTGTAAAGTTCTCCACGTGAGATGATGCTTGGGGAGCCAAAAAACAAACTGGAAAGAACTAGGTAGAACATGTTTAGTGGCTCTGCCCACCCCAAGGACAGAGCCACTTACACTGCAGAACCACCAGGGGCCTCTGGCACTTGAGGGGATTCAGCAGCTGGCTCTTCAGGGCTCAGACGGGACTGAAATTTCTCCAGCTGCTCTGGGCTTGCCAGGGTCTTCAAAAGGGTGTTCTCACGCTCTAGCTGTGAGTTCTTCTCCACCAGCTCACGGATCTGCTCTTTCAGGACCTCAACCTCCTCCCTTACGGCATACATCAGATGATTCTTCACCAGATCCTGCCACCAAGGGAGTTACAATAAAGACATTCTTTAGCCATCAGGCCCCTGGGCAGTATCTTCGCCTTGCCAGCCCCAGCCGTGTGCCTGTGCTGTCCCTCATGCCACCACCCTCCAGCCATCCCTCAGCAGGCTGGCCTTGCAGCCCAATTCCTGTGTGCTGGTCTCTGAAGCACTTTAACCCTCCTTCAGGAGAGTGACATGACTTAGGCCATGTCAGAACTGGGATCCCAGCTTTGAACTAAATAGGTTCCCCCTGAAAGTTTGTAATGACCTTCAAAACTGGCTGCTAGGGACCTTTGCAGTGAGACTTCTGCCAGTTTCCAGTGGCTTGCTATGTCCACCTTTCTACCAAAAACCCTGCTGCTGATGGCCCAGGTGCAGGGGGAGACCCTGAAATGTACCCCATACCATTTGTCTGCTTTACAAATCTTCACCAAGAGAACAAAATTGGCTATTCTGGAGTCTCCGCCCCTCCATATGACCTACTACATTGAGTCACAGCTATCCTGCAGCCCAGCCACACAGAACACAGGACACTGACCCTGGGGAAAGGTACTGGGATTGCTGCAACTTCTCTCAATTTGATGAGTGTGCTGGGGGTAGAGAACATGTTCTTAGGCTCCAGGACAGTTAAGTGCCTCTTAACTGCTGGAAGCCTCCACTCTCTGCAGCCATTTTGGCTGCTTGGGAGTATGACCTCTGCCTGGTAAGGAGAGGGAGAAGGGGTGGGTGCTCTGCATCCTGTTTCCTTCCAACTCCTGACCCCAGCCCAGGCTCTGCAGAGGCACTGCAGTGTGGTTGCATCCAATGAGCTCTGCCTCCTGCCAGCTGCGGGATGCAGGCAAAAGTCTGAGCTCCTAGCCCTGCAACGGGCCCAGGAGCGAGCCAGAGGCTGCTCCAAAGACCTGAGATGTAGAAGGGGGTGGATAGGAGGGAGCCCAGTGAGGGCAGACTGGAAATGTCCTAAAAGGTGATTCTCTAATAGGACTTGACCTAATGCCTCCAGGGTGGATAGAGAGGAGGCTGTCTGCTCCCCCAGGCTTTTGCACCCACCTCTTTAGTCCTGCCCTGAGTTACATAAGCAGCAGCTAAGTCTGGGGATGGGAATGACGCAGTGATACCACTCACCATGGCCTGTTCGATCTTGTTGTCAATGGCCACGACACTGGCTCCAGAAGCACTGCAAAGACAAAAAGCCAAGTGACCCGTTACCCACTCGGTTCCACTCTCAGTACCTGGAAGCTGTGACCAAAGTCCTCCACCTAGCCCAGTCTTCCCCTCTCCCGCCTCCCTGGCCTGGAGTTCTGGGCAGTTTGTCCCCAGATCCCTTCCTGGCCCCTCCAGGAAGCCGCACCTCCTCATCCAGGCTGGCTCCGCGCCCCCACCGCAGCCACCGCCCTGAGTTCCGAGCCACCAGAGCAGCGCGCGGGTCCTGGGGCGCACGGGCCAACGTGGCCTGCTCGGGAGATGTGCAAACAATGGGGGCGCGCGGCCCGGGTAGTCACCCCGCCTCTGGCCCAGAAGGTCCAGGGCAAACCTACCCGGCTCTGAAGCTAGCTAGGAATTCCTTGGCGGCGGCGAAGCTTCCGGCCTTCTCGCAAGCCGCACACAGCGCACGGCCGCCCCCCTGCCCAGCCCTGCCCGCTGCCTCTCTGCTTCCCGCTGCCTCTGCGGCTGCAGCAGCTGGTTCTCACGGCGCAGCGGCCGCAGGGACGCTCCGACGACGGATCCCAGAGCGGCGATGACCCCCCCTTCCTGCGTCCCTTACCCCCGCCCCTTCCCAGGATGCTGCACCGCGGGGAACGGGGACCGGCGGCGCACGGTTCGCTCGGAGATCCGGCTCGGAGCCCAGCCCCCGCCCGCGCCCCGGCTCGGCGCAGCTGCTGGGGCCGGTGGTTACCTGTTATCCAGCTTAACGGAAACCACATCCCCTCCAAGCAGGGAAGAGAAGAAGGAGATGGAGAAATTGTGCAGCTGATAGACCGCCACCTCCATGGGGGTCTGGTACATTTCGGTGTTCATGGCTCGGGCTGCCGGGGAGCTGGGCAGGCTGGGCGGCTGCGGGTGCTGGCGCGTTGCGCTGGGCTGGGCTCTGCGCCGGAGTCCGGCCCTTGGCTAGGAGGGGGCGAAGGCTGCCGAACGGACCCGAAGCCAGGCAAGCGCTCCGGCTGGAGTTGAAGGGAATTGACTCGAGGGGTGTCACCTAGTGTGTCACAAACTCCACAGCCGCCAGTCCAACCCAGACTCGGAGATATTTCGGCTCCTGTTTCTTTATATAGGAGGAGCCGGCTGCGTCACATGGCGTCAGGGGCCATGCAAATGAGTCCTGTACCGGGCTTTGTGGCCCAGTTAAACCACATCCCCTCCCTGAACCTTAGTCTGGGACTGTAAACAGTTCAGCACTTTCTTGTGCCAACTGGCGTCTCCAAAGAGGGCTCTGGAGATTGCTAAAAACCCAACTGGAGCTGACTTCTAGAGAAATAAACATAAATGCCCTAACAGAAGGCAGAAGGCATTCAGTGGAGGATGGCGCTGGTTTTAAAAGCTCTATTTCAGGTGTCAGGCAGCATACACCTGATGGTTTTGCAAGGCTCTAATAATGTCACACTCCCTGGACACTCGCCTTCACCATCAGAAAACTCATCTTTCCTGGTGACTACCCTCTTAGACGCTCCCCTGCACATGAACTTGGTCACCTGCACATTCACGCTCTCACCAACCCAGCTGTCCCCTCACCCAGCCAGTCCCATCAGCCTGCCCCCTGGCATCTATCCACTCACCTCTTCCTTTGAATCTACAAATGTGGGGGTACCCGTCTGTGTACTAACACCTGCACAGACCTGTGACATGCATGGGTCTGCATGAATCACTGTATGCACATCTGTGGAGGAGAGAGTGTCCAGGAACTCAGGTGAGTGGATGGACACATATGAGGGAGCAGCGAGGTGGCTGACAGAGGAGGGGAGGCAGAGACTCCGCGGTGGAGTGACCACAAGATGCCAACCCTTGTCTCTCTGGTCTCCATACCCTGCACTTCAGATAAAGCACATTCAACATTATCCAGAATTTCATTTCCCATTTTTTAAGAAAACAAAATTTTGTTGCCTTTCTATAAACAGTGAATGACAACAAAACTCCAGACCAAGGCTATATATATACCATTTCAAGAAAACACCTGCTCCTGTGATGGGTCCAGCCATACATAGCATTAGAGGGTACTTCCGGAAAAAACAGACTCCAAAATACAAAGAAGATTAGGTGATTGTTGCTCAACAAGAGTTACACATGTTTCCATCAAGATCTATTTTCATTCTCCTCAGCCTCAAAAGAAAAACAAAAAGGCACCAGAGGCTTCAGGCTTTTTTTCTCCAGCTTCTTCCTAGGCAAGGCCACCTAGTGGACAAAAGCAGAATTGCTGCCAGAAGGAGCAAGAGGGGCAGGGACAGGTGATGCAACCAGGAATATTATTTACACCAACCTAGGACCATCAGAACACTGGGTTCCACCACATATACGATAGTTTGGATGAAGTTAAGGGCAGTAGCCATGAATCAGTGCTCCACAGGCTGTGGTCCAAAGAAATATCCTAATGCAATCATGCCATTGGAAAAGTACTGGGGCTTCTTATCAGCAAAAAAGGTAATTATTATTTGCGTCAGGATATTTCTCTTAACCAGGTACCTGGCACGGACACCACGGCCAAGGCCCCAGCCAATCCCAGTCTAGTCTGAGACCTTGATTTCCTCCAGGCTTCCAGTGCAGCTATGCCACCAAACAGGCAATAATTTGGCTATGATATGGGGCTCTGTTGGTGCATTTTGGTGGTGGTAATATGTGTATAATTGCCATTATATCTGCAGAGGGCTGACCAAGAGAACTATCCAAATAAACCTACTGCACTAGCCCAGAGTTGTGTTTTTCTTCACCCCAGTTTAGGTCGGGGACAATCTCAATCTCAGGACATTCTGTTACCTTTAGGACACAAACTCTCCATATGCAGTGTTTGTACTAAATAGTGTGTAGTAGAGCAGGGGTCCTCAAACTTTTTAAAGAAGGGGCCAGTTCTCTGTCCCTCAGACTGTTGGAGGGCCGGACTGCAGGCCCCAGGATGACTCGGCTGCTAAGCAGGACAGGCAGCAGCGGCGGCAAAAACACCCAGTGGGCCAGATAAATGTCCTAGGCGGGCTGTAGTTTGAGGATGCCTGTGACAGAACAAAGTCCCAACTATATTTTGGGTCATCAAGAATATTAGCTGAGAAAAAGTATTCTTAAATCAGGAGCTTAGTTGACATTGGAATTCCCTGATATATTAATCTGCCCTCTGCCACATAAAGCTTTTTTGGTCCAGAAATTCTCTGAGTTGACCTTTCATTGGCTTATTAATTTTTCCTTAATGATTGCTTCCCACCCCAAAATTCCAAGGAAAATGATGAGAAGAAAAGGGGAGAGAGAAACAAGCTGGGTTCTCAGGGGAAAAAAAACACCATCAGGAAAACAGGAAACAGGACAGAAGTAAGATAACTCCTTGGAACAAGACTCCTTTATGTGGAGAGTCAGAGAAATCCAGGTAGTTTGGGGAAGGAAGAGAACTGGGGTTAAATTTGGTGGCAAACCTGCGTTTGAATGGTGCATTAGTTATGCTTCAATTAAAAAGCTGAGTTTCAGACCCACGGACAATAATAAATACTGTTAACAGAGCTATGGGCAGACACTGCTGGCTGCATCACAATTTCCAAGGTGTGAGGACCGTCATCATCATTTCGCAGGTAGGCTACATACAAAAAAACCAAGGGTCTGAGAGGCTACCTTGTTCAAGGTGGCAGAGCTAATAAATTGCAGAGTGGGGACTCCAGAACAGGTCTTTCTGACCTAGATAGAGACCAAGTTTGTCCCAACTACACTGACCAGTGTAGGGCAGGGAGTAGGTTTGTTGAGTGTGTGTAGTGTTGGATGAGTGAGTTGAGGCAGTTGGGAGATGAGTTTGAGGTGCCAGAGAGTAGTAAGGAGAAAGAAAGGGTGAGGACCTCAGCATTACCGTTAGAGAAGTACAGAGGCGGCCTCTGAGTTCTGCAAGTGCTGGCTTTTCTGACACCGAAGGCAGGGGAGAACAGCAATGGGCAACCTTCAGAAGAAAATCCAAACTGTCCAAATGAACTTTAGGAGCAAACCATGCTCAGCCACACCATTCCGCAAGGTAGCCAACCATTCCTCAAAGAAAGCTATCTCTGTCTAGGAAACAAGAAATAGCAATCCAACCAGGTGGCTTCCAGAAGGGAATATGGAGGCTTGGGGCATACAACATTCCAAATAAAGTATGGAATCTCAGGAAATAATCATGGTGTAGTCAAAGTTTAAATTCCTGAGGCCCTCTCATTGGCACCCTTAATTAACTCCTTTTCCCCTATTCCTGCTGTGCTCAGCTTTTCAGAGAATGAGGTCAACAACAAGAAAACAAGCTCCTATCAGGGATTTACTTTACAAAAACAACATCGAAACGATGTCCCAGGTTCAGCCTACACTCAGTCTCTGATCCTCTCTTCTGTCCAGAACCTCTAGTTCTGTCCCATGAGAAGTGCTCACCCTAAGTCCTCCTGATCCTCCATTAGTAAAGAATGGCTGGCTCTCAGGGTCTGCTGGCTCCCTCACGGAAGAATATGGACTTACATGTCTCCGCAGAAAGATCTTCCAGCAACAAGGGTAGTAGAGCTAAGGATGGGTAGGAGGGGTGGGGGGACAAGAAGGAAGAACCCAGGGATTTTCTGCTTAACCCTCAGCATACCGGAAAAGTCCTCTGCCCAGAGCAGCTGCACCAAACCTTGCAGCGAGTGGAAATTTGTGTTGTACATGATATCAATTATCTGATCTAATGTTTCTCAGTAATGTGCTGATTGTTGAGACTCAGGGTCCTTGTATCCTACGGAGCTGGGCCCCCAACAGGAAACAGTGGCCTAGGGATTCAACAGCCCAGCAACCCCAACATTCATAAATGTTTGCAAACTTCTTTTCTGACACCCTGAAACTTAACAATGTAGGCTGGACCCAGAGTCAGCACGGCAATAGCGCCTAGCTGAAGAGCCAGGCCCTCAGCTGCCTCTCAATTTTACTCCTCAGGGACTCGGCAATGAAAGAGGCATAGCTGACCCTACCTCTCTCAGGGGTGATCTCGGGGCTGGAGGGTGG